CGGGGGCTCCGCTCGCCGTTTCAATTATTGTGTCGCAAATGGCACGTGCAATTTTACCAATTGGAAGTTGATCACACGGTTGGACGATACTTTGTATTAGTTTTCATTGGAATCGCAAGCACCAATCGTTGATCGCGACGAAAATATATTTGTTGTTTCGTACAAGTTCTTGTACGACAAATACTTTTGTTCGAACTTTACGATTGACACGTACTTTGACGACGAGTCAAAACTTTTATACGCTGTCGCGTTGTTGTTGTTGTTGTTGTACCGTTGAATACGTGACTCGTAAGCGCTCGAATTCTTGACGCTGCGATAGCGACCGTATAATCGAGCGTAAGGATGTTTTCAGTGAGCAGGAAGTAATCTGTTTCAATGTGACTCCGAGAGGTCCACGTCTCACTTGTGGTGGCAGCTTAACAGCTAAATTGGACGGAATCGGAGCCTGAAGTAAGGCCGATTCTCATGAAGCTTGACAAACAATTGGATGACCTCAAATGACAAACCAGTCAAGTCTACCTCGAATGTTGTGCAAATGTGTATCGTGGGTACGATAGGGGGGTGGAGAAAAAAGATATCAACCCTGAAATTCTTATAAATGTTAACTCGTTCTTGTATCGGCTTTTGCGTCTATAAATAAATAATCAAAGATTCCAAATGAAAATACGCATTGGAATAATTGGAGTCGAACTATCGTGATCCGGTCGCCCACGTAGGCGCCATTACGCGGCCGTACGAGTTTCTGCATGGAAACGAGGCGATTCCGGGGGAGGGGGGGGAAGGTTGGCAGCCCTTTTTTTTCATAGATACAAAATAAAACCAAGCGAATCAAGTTCGCTCTTGGCTAAGTGCAATTACGGGGGTGTCGCGTCGAGCCTGTCTCCAGCTTGTAAACTCCGTCGGCCATCATGCGTGTCGGACTTGAGTCGAATGAAAAAATTAGTAATTGGTCGTTATTAAGTGCAAGAAACGGTAACCGGTCGCTCACCCAATTCCAATTGCCTTTACCTTATGAACATTGATGCTTCGTATATATGATGTTTTCATTTTATATTTTACTTTGGTATTTCTACGCTTATGGCTACTCGGCTATCTTACCGGTTGATTATTTATTATTTATTTGTCGTCGCGACGCCAACTTTTTCACGGTTTTATGCAGTTTACACTCTTTGCACCGGTTGGTCAGTCTGCGCGCGCGCCGTGCTGCCCACTCTTGTCTATATATGTATATACATATAGCCGGTCAGTTTACAGGTTCCGTGTGGTTGAGTGGGTTGCAGATATTCACTGACTGATTTATTTATGCCGCATCCACAAATCGGTACCTGAGGCGAATGATAATCGAGCTTAAGTATATCGATTCCCGAAGGTCCACCTGAACTAGTTGGCAACAGGCTTTAGAAAGGCTATGTTCGTCCCTGGACACATTTTACGAACAATGGAACCGAGATATGACTGACGAACAATGACAATATTGTATCGTGAACAAGATACGCGCGCACAAAATTTCTTTGTTCTCGATACAAACTCGACGTAATCCGGACGGATCGGTCTTTGGATGAATTTTATAATATTTTCGCAGTCATTAATATTTATGTCACTGACTTTTTGCTTCTTGTTACTTTCCTTCAGGGACACCCTATATCGTCTGACTTTGGATTCACTGACGCCTTTGGAACGTGCCGTTTGGACGGCCTCGCCGGAGAAAGCATCGGTGTGTCAGGACAAGGGTCAAAGTGCACAGGATTGTCATAATTACATCAAGGTGCTTTTGAGCAACGGAAAGAGTCTCTTCACTTGCGGTACCAATGCATTCAGTCCGCTCTGCACGTGGAGAGAGGTGAGTGAATTGAAATAGAAAAAAAAAAAAATTTTTTTTTTTTTCAAAATAATAGTCGTGTACAACGACTATAATCGTATAAATGTATACGTACAGACGTATTTGTGATTTTTGAAAATCGAAGTCTTCCTGGAAATAACAGGGCGAACTCGATTGTATGTGAATTGGCAAACGTCCGAGGCGAAAGGCTGTCTTAATGGAGAAAAAGGGAAAATAAAGAAAAGTAAAAATAAAAGATAACGAGGGGCGGGACAGCTTTAAAAGCCGTTAGGTATTAACTACCTACCTACAGTTGGGTGTATCTCCTATCATTACTCTCTCAAACGAGCTGTTAACAGTATCGTTTACGTGACGATACCAGGAAGCATCACGATTTTGCATTTTATAAATCAATCGAATAATTTTTTGAAAAAATATATTATTCGCTGCTGATCATTACATTTTTATATTATTTCCAGATCGAGAACATAAACAAAGTCACCAGCAGGGTCTCGGGCGTGGCCATGTGCCCTTATTCTCCGCATGCTAACGTTACGGCTTTGCTGGCCAGGGGCCCTAGCGGAGGACTCTTTGCAGGTGCGCCAACTGACTTTTCTGGTGCAGATCCAGCGATATACAGAACACTGGCTTCGCCTAATTTGCGAACGCATCAATACGACTCGAGGTAAGTGGATTTAATTGTGTAAGTTTAATTACGAGGATACCGCACATTGGTGGGATTTATAGAAATTTTTTTGAAATTGATAAATTATTATTTTTCTTTTTTTTTTTTACAGATGGCTCAATGATCCGCAATTCGTGGGAAGCTTCGAGACCGAGGACCACGTGTACTTCCTGTTCCGTGAAGTCGCCGTCGAGTATATAAATTGCGGCAAGGTATAGACATATGGATCGAGGTGGTTTTATATTGGTAAAAAAATTGCGTTGGACTTGGCGTCACTGCAGAACATAACGTTGAATGGTTCCTGAGAAAGCGATTACGCAACTGGAGAACGCGATAGGTTTATTATTATTGGATTAGAATTCTTCGAGCTGTAAATATTGAAGTGTAACAAGAATGCGAGAGATATTTTGTAAAATTGGCAATGTGATACCGGTGGAAAAATTATTAATGCCGTACGGGATGCCTTGTTACTATTTTTTTTTAATTTTATTTTTTGGCCCGCGGGCCCTCTGGTCACTGGATTGACGATCTTGAACGAAATTAGCGAAGGCTGCTCGACTCTTGCAAAAAGCAATTACATAATTTCCACGCAATTACTTGGCTCAGCTGAGAATGCGGTTGGCGTTCCGCTAAGCAATGAAAAAGGAAGCCATTAAAAAAAAAAGAAGCGCTTGGAAGCGTTCGTCCTCGCGTATAGATAATTGGCGGGTCTGCCAGGCTGTTCGCTGTATGAGAATGAACCCTAATCCACTGACGTTTACTTTTAAGATCTTTTTTTTTTATTCGAGTCGCTGGCAACTAGCAACGTAATAATGTGTTCTCCACGCGTCTTCGCTCTGTCAGGTTAATTTTTTTACATCGCAGTTCACTTAATAACACAACGGTTATTATTATATATAGTTTCGAAATTTAATGTTTTGCGTTATTTGCTACATAGTTGTATATTCAAATTTTATTTGACGCTTGGAATTCTTTTGCGTTTGTTCAAGTATAATGCAATTGTTTTATGTGCAATTTTTGTAGTTGTTTTTTTGTCGCCCTTGTACAAACTTTTATTGTTTCTTGTTGTGGTTGGTTTGTCTTAGAAAATTTACTCGAGGATCGCTCGAGTCTGTAAGAACGATCAAGGCGGTCAGACTTTGATGAAAGATACTTGGTCGACATTCAGCAAGGCTCGACTCAACTGTTCCTTGCCTGGGGAGTTTCCGTTTTATTATGATGAAATTCAGGGTGCTGTGTATCTTCCGGAAGAAGGCATCATTTATGCAACCTTCGCCACACCCATGTAAGCGAAAATAAATATAATATCAGTCTTCAAAGATAAGACGTCAAATCGATAATAAAATTGCAAAAGACTTATTTTTTCATGCTGTCTCTGAAAACGGATTCACGGCAGATATGGTAAAATGAAATATATAAATAAAATTGTTTGTAGTTCAACAACATAATTTTATCTTGTTCGTTGATAAGATTTTCTCCACGTTACTCAACTTTTATCGCACTGGTAAAATGTATCACGAATCTCATGATGATATTGTATTTTAGCAATGGCATCGCTGGCTCAGCTATTTGCGCCTTCAACATGTCTGCCGTGGCTGCAGCTTTTAGCGGACCCTTCAAGCATCAGGAAAACATTGGGGCTGCCTGGGAGAAACGACCTGTTTCACATCACAATCGTCAACATTGCGGTCAACCTTCGAATATTCCACCTCATCAGATAATGGACAATCAAAGATATCAATTGATGGACGATGCAGTTCAAGGGATCACAATAACGCCCCTGTACACGGTTACGCTTGAAAGGTTATATCACAATTAATAAATTTAACAATAAAAGTCGAAATGCCTCATGTCGTATTGGACATTGAGGATTTGTGAAATATTTCCTGACATTTAATTCGTTAAGTTTGAATTTCTTTTGACGAGGTGCATTTATTTTTCAGGTTTACTCATATTGCAGTCGATGTCACACCGACAAAGTTACATCGCGGTGTGACGGTTCTTTACGTTGCAACTACAACGGGTCTTATTAAAAAGATTTCAGTACTTCCAAGAACTCAAGAGACTTGCATTATAGAAGTCTGGGGTCCTTTACCCTCACCGGCTATGTCTCTACAGTTTCTGAAAGACAGACAAAGTCTCTATGTTGGAATGGAATCTGGTCTCTTGAGGTATTTATTTATATTTACTGTAATAATATAAATTGGACAATTAATTATATTTCATTGTCACGTTATGGTTTTTTTTTTTTTTAGAATTCCTGTTGCTCAGTGTCATCGACACAGGCGGCGTCAAGCTTGTCTGAATGCACAGGAGCCATATTGTGGATGGAATGAACACCTTTTGAAATGTGCGCCAGCACCGAGTCAAAATTATCTTGCTAACCATTGGCTTCAGGAAGTGACGAAATGCCCGGTTCTTACTGATCCTGTTGATGGAGGCTGGAGTGCTTGGAGTTCCTGGTTACCTTGTCAACATGGTACAGCTGAACAATCATCCACGCATTTCCATTCCCACGGGCATTCTCATATGGAAAATGCAGAAGTGAGTTTGTTTATAGATCACTGTATTATTGTACCGCATATAATTATACTAGAAATTTCAATAATGTTATATGAGTTGTATTTGCATTCAAAGATAAATACAATTTATTTCTTGCTCGATCGACAATCTTAATATTAAATTTTTGTTTGCAATAAAAGTATCATATATTTATTGATGCAATTTTTGTGCAGTGTTAATAATGATCAAATTATTAAATAATTTATTGCTATGCATGACGTTCTTCTGTTGTGCTTGAATGATAATTTAATTTTCATTTCAGAATGTGGACACGTGCCAGTGCCAAACTAGAGAATGTAATAACCCTCCACCACGACATGGTGGCAATGGTTGTGTCGGATCGATGGTCCGAGTTCAGAATTGTACCGTTCACGGAGGTTGGACAACCTGGTCAGCGTGGTCGGGTTGTTCACAAACTTGTGGTTTTGCAATAAAGACTCGTAGACGTACCTGTACCAATCCTGCACCTGCATTCGGTGGTCGAATCTGTGTTGGTCACGATCACGACGAAATTATTTGCATTGACTTACCACCCTGTCCAAAACCAGCTAAAGCTGCACCACCGCCACAGAACGGACAGTGGTCATCCTGGGGCTCGTGGAATGTTTGTTCAAGACCTTGTAACGGTGGTAAGTACCAATACATCTTCTTTCGTATGAAATTTGATATAAAGCATAATTTTATGTTTAATCAGGAATTCGTCTAAGAAGAAGAACATGCGACAACCCTCCGCCTAGAGAAGGTGGGGCTGAATGTTCGGGATGCAGCTTCCAGGTAAAATTAATTAATAGCTGCTTAAACGAAAATTATCAACTTTAATTCTGATTACTATAATTGATTTATTAATGATCCTGGTAGATTGAAGAATGCAATACTCACCAGTGCACTGAGATTCGAAGATATTCCACTTGGACTCCCTGGCTGACCGTTAACGCCACCACGCAAGCCGGAAACGTTGACTATACTGAGAAACGTTTCCGGTTCAGTTGCCGAGCTCAAACAGATGATCCTTCAAGTTTGCGAATTCAGCTTGCCAAAGAGGAAGAACGTTACTGTCGAAACGACGGTTCTTGTCTACGGGGACCAACTAATGGAAACATCGACACCACCTTGGAAGCTGGATGGGCTGAGTGGTCCTCTTGGTCTCCGTGTAATAGACCCTGCAATGGTGGCTCTCAGCATAGGGTTAGTTGGACTTAGTCAACATCATTATCTTTGAAAATAATTTTGCTGGACTTATTAATTTTAGTAAGAAAAATTGATACAGGAATTTTTACACGCCGGTAACAAATTGTGACCAGATGATCATATTTGTGTATTCTATTTGTTGTTTAGGTCAGACAGTGCGACTCGCAACCCTGTGAAGGAGCACCGATGCAAACAAGGGCATGCAACGTGCATGCTTGTCGTGGAACCGGAAGTGGAATCGGAGACAACGAAGGCCAATGGTCCTGTTGGACTGATTGGACGCCGTGCTCGGCGTCTTGTGGTCTTGGTTATCGTACAAGAAGACGTGAATGCTTGGGACCAGGACCTTGCGAAGGTACCAGCTTCTCCAGAGAGTCCTGTGATATGCCCAGTTGTGAATGTTTACACGGTTGGGACAACTGGAGTCGTTGGTCACCTTGCGACGGGGACCAACAATATCGCAAACGTCAATGTCTGCTTCAACCAGGGATTGGAGTATGCCATGGACCTAGTCAGGAGGTTCGTGACTGTAATCCTGATTGGATGGATAATGGTGAGTAAAATAAAATATTAATTTCAACAATTAATTCGATCGTCATTTAAAATACATTCATATATATATTATTTTGCAGAGATAGCAAGTGCTCTTCCTACCAGCGTAGAGAAGGCTGGTATTTCCGTTGGCGCTGTCGTCGGAAGTTGCATTGCCGGCTTTATAATTGGTCTAGGGCTTACTGCCATTTTGTGTTTCTTGTACGTCAGACGCCGGAAGCCACGTGTACCAGGTAGTCCTCATTACATCAGCAAGCAAAATCCGTACGTGACGGTTCCACTCAAGGAGGTAAGTTGACAAAGAAATCTTATCAAAGAAAGTGGAGCATTCAGTTTATCCTGTTAGTGAACAATTAACAAAGTGACATCTCTGGGTTTCAGGTAAATACAAAACGGCAGCCTAGTTTCTCTGGAAGCACCAACGGAAACGGAACTCTTCGCACTAAGAACAATCCCAACGTCAACGGTCTGGGAAGTCCAAAATTATATCCAAAAAGTTTGGATTACGAATCAGCAACTCTGAAACGTAACAGTCATGGTCAGCCGCATATTCGGGCCGACTTGGATCAGGACAAATATTATTGAAAAGTTTAAACTCAACACAATAGTAATAAGCGTTGACTATAATAGATATATGTTTTATTTTTAATCACAAATTTTACACATTTGTTCATTAAGAGTATGAACACTTTGTTTATTCTACTTAATTAAGAGTAGGCCGCGATAATAATTCATATTAAGTGATAGTTGAGTGTATCAAAAAGTTTAACTAGAAAAGGTCTCTGAACTCAGCGGATAGAAATACTTTGCTTGAATTTTCAAGTACGGAGACCACTGATAAGTACCTTGACAAGACAGAGCGTTAAATTGTCAGTAACTCTTAATAACAATTGGCATCTTGATTAATAAGTGCTCTTAATGGTGTTGCTCAATATCCCGAGCCAAGAGCTCGTAGATGAGAATAAGAAATGCAATTGCCACATAAACGAAAGAACTCTACGTGTACGAGATAGCAACAACAAATGTATACAACAAAATGAATTAAGTAGGAACAAAAGGATCAGTATTTTATTGAAGTATGAAATCAGAAAACAATGTATGTACGAGATTATGCAATTTTTCGTGGGTCGATATGTTAGCCTCCCACATGATTACGAGACAAATTTTTATATGAGCGCGAACGAAATCTTGGTTTCGAGAGGAATGTTCATTACTGGAATGAATTTTTTTTTAGTTTATTTTCTTCACTTTCTTTCATTCTTTCGCTGTAAATAGAAGAAGGAGGAGCGAACGCTTGGGCATTTAAATTTCCGCGCATCTGTATAAAGTTCTCTCACGTACTCATAGTATTTTGTGTACTCTCGTTATGTGTTTTAATTTTAAGTGAGATACTGTATGTCGCCTTGATCGCCATTCGAATTCCGTGATCTTTTTTTTATATTTTTTTAAAGCCACTATCGGATATATAATTTGAAAATGTTATGAACAATCCAAGCAGGGACGTTAAAAAAAACACTTATTAAAATAACAGTGTTATACAGCTCGCATTATATATTTTGGATGAATTTTTCTTTAATTCGTAATTTATTGCTTGTGTAGGAGATTTTGGAAAATTAGTCAAAGATCACGTGACTGTCAATGGTCGTCAGGTAGCTCTTTTTGTAGTAGGAGCCGAAAAAGCCATGAAATCAAAAAGGTCGTCTGTATATATATAGTGATACGCCGAAAATAATTTCGAGCTTCCATTAAACGACGTAGTGCCATGATACGGAATATTGTAAATAGTTAATCGTGTTTTGCACCCGGAAATAATCTTAAGATTCATCATTGTAGCCATATATTATTGAGCCATGAAATCAAATCTAGATTGAGAGACATTTTTTTTACGTTTTACGCCATAGACAATCTCGAGGTTGAATTGATTTCATGGTTCGGATAGTAAGATAAGAATGCCCATGAAAAGCATAGATCTTTATATTTAATTTTACTGCATCCCAATTGGCTCATATTGAGTCGCCTAATGCGTAAGCCTAGTAGCTTTATATAACGTGTAATAACCGGAAGTGACGTAGTAACATACATTTATTATATACTTTGTTTTGTCCTTTCTCCTTACATATTCCCGTGACAAGTACAGATACAAGCAACATCGTCAAGGACGGCGAGATTTTATTTTTATATTTTCGCAAGATCTGCCTGTACTTCGCTTCGGCCACAATTTTAATAAAGAGGTTTAGTTTTTCGAAATTATTGTCATTCATTTTTTGTCCTCAGTACCTTGTGTTTCGAGCGACCGAACTAAAGAAAAGTGCTCCTCGCAAAATGACCGTCAGGAAGTTAGCGTCAAAGGATAAAAATTTATATGTTGCTGAAGGTAGTGCCCGGACTCGCAGCGCTCATTCCTCCTTGAGCCGGTCTCCTATACTGGTCTCTTGGAAACACCCCTCTTATCCATTTCCAACCTTCCACTTCTTCTATATTTATTTCATCTTTAATTCCTTATTTCTTTATCTGTCGTTCTTCACTTTCTTATTTATCTCTTTCTTCATTTCTTCTCCACTCTTATAACTCTATTCCTTAATTTTCTACTTCTTTATTTCTATTTTCATTTCTTTCTTTTCGTTTCGCTTTGTTCCCTTTCACTTTCCATTGTATTTATCTTACTTTTCCTATTCCTTTGGTCGGGTCGAGCATATTCATTTAAGTAGTCATATAAGAGTAGTCACCCTGTTAGTGCAGCTAGACTTAAGACCATGGTGTCGGGGGTTGCCCTTCCGCCTCATCCGCTGAGCTTGCTCAGTGGGTCAGGCCCAAGTTGTGGCCGCAACAGGACCTTATGGGTCTCCCGACGGGGGCCTTGAGCCCCCTTATTGTATCTACGGCCATGGTCTTTCGTATAGTGAATCTAACCAGGTGTCTAGCTCTCGCGTATTTAGTATAATTTGTTCACTTTGCTAAAAACGCTCCAACACGTCGTTGACCCTTGTGTGGGTAGAGACGATCCTATGTGTCGGTGGGGAGGTCGGAGG